AGCCTAGCAGTTGCTCATGCCAAGTTACTGGCCAGGTATCTTGGTCATGAGGATGGAGCCGAGTCCATGTCAGGTGCACCTGTTGCTCCTGGAGGTTGGCAGCAGAACCAGAGACTCAAAGTCCTTAGTCTTTAGAGTTCATTCTTATAGGAATTAATTCCTATGTTAGTCTATGGGAACTGTTTCATCCTGCTGTTGCTGACTCAATCAGCAGATGGCACATTCCTAGTGTCTCCACACTGTCCACAGTTTGTGTTTCTCATCCTTCCAGGTGATGGGGTGGATCCTAGTTTACCCTCCGGGGATTGTCTGGTGATCTACTTGACACATTCTTCAGCCAATGGATTCTCCCTTTCTAGGCTGGCACCTCCCTAACCATTCATGTACATCAAGCATTCATCAACATACATTCCATATCTTAACCATATTTTAATTTACTGTTTCCACCACTTTCGGGGTGTGTGCTAATTCATTGAGACTCCCGGCCCTTTAATCACAGAGGGTGAGTGTCTGTTCTAGGGGCCATTGCTGTTACAATAAAGTGAAAGTCACTTAACGGCTTATAGCATTTGTTTACCTTGTATCAGATGTGGTAACCTAGTGTTCACTTCAAGAACAAAGTCAATTAACTTGTTTGTAAGTTTTACATAGTAATAAAGTATCTTTCACAGGACAGATACAATCAATGGTTTCTACAGACAGTAACTTACAAGTTTTAACAGAAGACCCAAGAGATTTTTGTACTTGGTGAAACTGTTGGATTTTAAAGTGTGGGGGACAAATTATGGGGGGTCACTGTCACTTGGGGGAATCACTGTTAGTATCTTCTTTAATATCCCTACAATGTAGGGCTGGAAGGGACCTTGAGAAGTCATCAAGTCCAACCCCCTGTGTTAAGATAGGACCAAGTAAACCTAGAACATCCCTGAAAGGTGTTTGTCCAACCTGTTCTTAAAAGCCTCCAATGATGGGGATTCCACAACCTCCCTTAGAAGCCTATTTGGAGCTTAACTATCCTGATAGTTAGAAAGCTTTTAATATCTAACCTAAATTTCCCTTGTTGCAGATTAAGCCTATTACTTCTTATCATATCTTGAGTGGGCACGGTGAACAAGTGATCACCATCCTCTTTATAACAGCCCTTAACATAACTGAATACTGTTATCAGGTTCCCCCTCAGTTGTCTTTTCGCAAGACTAAATGTGTCCAAGTTTTTTAACCTTTCCTCATAGGTCAGGTTTTCAAAAGATGTTATCATTTTTGTTGCTCTACTTTGGACTCTCTCCAATTTATCCACATCTTTCCTAATGTATAGAGCCCCAAACTGGACATAGTATTGCTGCTGAGATCTCACCAGCACCAAACAGAATATGACAATTACCTTCTGTGTCTTACTTATGACACTTCTGTTATTACAGTACACCCCAGAATGATATTAGCCTTTTTTGCAGCTGCATCATGTTGTTGACTCATGCTCAATTTGTGATCCAATATAACCCACAGATCGTTTTTAAGCAGTACTACCAGTTGGCCGATTATTCACCATTTTGTAGCATGTATTTTGTTTTTCCTTCCTAAGTGAAGTACTTTGCACTTGTCTTTATTTAATTTCATCTAGTTGATTTCAGACCAATTCTCTAATTTATGAAGGTCAGTTTGAATTCTAAGCCTGTCCTCCAAAGTGCTTGCAACCAGCTTGTTGTCATCTGCAAAGTTTTTATAAGCATACTTTCACTCCATTATCCAAGTCATTAATGAAAATATTGCATGGTGCCAGACCCAGGACTGACCCCTGCAGCATTCCACTCCATATGTCACCCCAATGTGATAGCGAACCATTGATAAATGTTCCTTGAGTATGGTCTTTCAACCAGTTGTGCTTGTGCATCCACCTTAAAGTACCTTAATCTAGACCACATTTCCCTTGCTTGCTTATGAGACTGTCATGTGGGACAGTGTTTATAAGCCTTTTAAAAATAAAGATCTCATGTCTGTTGCTTCCCTCTTATCCACTCGGCCAGTAACGTGGTCAAAGAAGAAATTATGTTGGTTTGGCATCAGATGTTCTTTACAAATCCATGCTGGCTGTTCCTTGTAACCGTACTAACCTCAGGTGCTTACAAATGGATTGTTTAATAATTCATCCCAGTATCTTTCCACATATTGAAGTTTTTGACTGGTCTATAATTATCCAGGACTTCTTTGTTCCCCCTTTTAAAAGATAGGTACTATGTTTGCCCTTCTCCAGCCCTCTGGGATCACACCCATATTCTCGATGATAATTGCTAATGGTTCTGCAATTGTTTCAGCTAGTTCGTAAGTACCCTGGGATGAATTTAGTCAGACTTGAATATACTGCTGACTTGAATATAAAGTCGAACCTTAGAATTACGAACTGACCGCTCAACTACACACCTCATTTGGAACTGGAAGTATGCAATCAGGCAGCAGCAGAAACACACCAAAAGAAAGAAAGAAAGAAAAAAAGCAAATACAGTACAGTACTGTGTTAAATGCAAAGTACTAAAAAAAAAGGGGGGGGGGGCGGAGCAGTATTTTTCTTCTGCATAATAAAGTTTCAAAGCTGTATTAAGTCATGCTCAGTTGTAAACTTTTGAAAGAACTATAATGTTTTGTTCAAAGTTACGAACATTTCAGAGTTACAAACAACCTCCCGCTCACAGCTCGCTCCTTTCTGTCCCCTCCCCACAGACCCCCCCACTCACGCCTCTCCACCCCCTCCCTTAAGGCCCCCCATCTGCTGCTTGCGTCTCTACAACCTCTCTTCCTCATTCCCCTGAAGCCCCCACTGCCCCTCTCCATCCCCTGCCTCCTCCACATCCCCCATCCCCAAGGCCCCCCAGCTTGTGCCTCTCTGCCGTCTCCCCCAGAGAGACGTGAATGAACAGCAGGATGGGGGTGAGGGGCGTGGGGAAGAGGCGGAGCAGGAGCGGGGCCTCAGGGTGGAGCATGAGCAGGGCCACGGTCTGGGTGCTGGTGGCTCCCCACCTTCTCGGGAGCTTCCGGCAGCAGCGCTCCAAAGGTGGCGGTCCAAAGGGAGGTGTGCTGCACCTGACATTTCTTGCCCCGTTTGTGGAGGTTTAGCTGCCCTAAGTCTCTTATACCCACTGCCCATGCTTCCAGAGGTAACCCAGACTGAATCTGTGGGTTGGATCTCAATAAGGTTTGCTATAATTTTACAGAAGTCACTAAGATTGAGACTGGTGGGGGAGGGGATGACACACACCATAAAGAAGGGACCACAGACTGGAGGCCAAATATTTTCAGGAGGTGCACTGCATCATTGCGCCAAAGACGTGTGTGAGCCTAATGGCTACACTAGTTGTCAAGTTTTCTTTTCTTTCTTCTTTGAACTTGTATCTGTGCTCAGTAGTATGGATGCGGAAACAACTGGTTATGTAATACAACTAAATGTTTTATTTAATTGTCAATATAATATCCAAGGCGAGACTATGTGAAAGCAGAAGATCTCCGATTGTCAGAAGTCCCAATCTCTGTATTTATGTTGTAAGGTGGTGTATATATTTTGAGGTTTAGGCCCTGTGTTATGGCCTTCAGTTTAAAGGAAAATAACAAATCTTTAGTTAGTGATGTTAGTCTAGTTAGGGTGTATTGTAATGGCTGTGCTGTAATAGGTTATCTTTTGTACTGTTGTTCATAAAAAAGAATTTGAAATCAGTGTGTGTGTGTGTGTAATTATCTTATTGTAAATTATTTTCTTAGGTACTGGATTCCTAAGAAGAGAAACAAAGTGAATCCTCCTGTTATAATTTCTACTTTTAGTATGTGATCCCTATAGAAAATCCATCTGCGGTCTCTTGCACAGATAGGAATTCATGGTCTGTGCAAATACTTTGTCAGACAGGAATTCTGTAGCACAGAATTGGTGAGTAAATTGACTTGCCTCCCCTCTACATAGGCAACATTCAGAATGCATATGCATCTCAAGGGCAGTCAGTCCCTTGGTGTCTCAGGGGTTGCCATCCTAATATCCTCACAAAAGTCTCATAGGCCCAGATCCTCAAAGGTATTTAGGCTCCTAACTTTCATTTATTTCAATTTATTTCAGTGGAAGTTAGGAACCTAAACAGAGGGGCCGAGTCCCCCAGTTCCCGGGGCGGGGGGGGACTTGACCTCCACCCTGCACCACTCCACCCCTTCCCCCAAGCCCTGCGCCTTCTTGCCCCCTCCCCCGCCTCTTCCTGCCCCCGCTCCTCCCCCTCTCCCCAGCACCTCCTCCACTCCGCTGATGAGCTGATCCTGGCGGGTGGGAGGTGCTGGGAGGAGATGCAGATTAGTGGGGCTCACTGGTGGGTGGGAGGGGGATGAGTTGATCTGTGGGGCTGCCAGATTGGCATCTATGAACATAAAAGCCTCTGAGGATCTGGGCCCTGCCATCCAAATCCATAAACCCAGGCTTGTTTGGACAGTCAAATCCACAGCATGGCAGGGAAGTTTGGGTCTGAGTGTGCCATTTTGCTGAGTGGAAAGAAAGGGAACACTTCTCTCTCCCCTCTGTCCAGTGCCCATAGAAATCTATCTCCTGGCAGTACCAGGGTCTCATTGTTTATACTGAGGCTGCATTGCCTCAGTGATCTGAGGGGGAGTCTTGTGGCGTTGGGTGATTTTCCTAAAGCCCCATCTTCTGGAGTCAGGGGATGACGTGCGACTCGCAGCTTGCATGAAAGTGTGGAGCCCTGATGGTTGTGGATCAAAGTGGGAAACTATGACCCCCTAAAGACTCCCTAAGGAAAATAGAAACATCCCGGAGTAGTGTTTCTGACAAGCCTATCGATCGCTTTTAAGCCAGGCTCATGATTGTTAGGGGGGGCGGGAGGGGGCTTGACTCGGCATGTTTCAGCACTTGGCTGTTAGCAACACTCGGCGTGTGGCAGCCTGGCTCGGGAGCTGGGCGCTGTCCCTTTAAGCAGGGAAGGGAGGGGGGAAGACCACTTTTGACACAAGTGACCCGGAAGTGACCCAGGGAAGAGGTCGGAGGTCAGGGGTGATCTCGGGGAAGATGGCGGCGGCCCGGCATGTCTCCCCCCCTCGCGGCGGCCTGGCCGCTGTCACCGGGCCCCCGGCTCCATGAGGGGCTGAGCCTCCGGCTGCGAGGCTGTGCAGGGGTTGGGGCGGGGAGCCCCGGGGGCTGCGGCCTCCTCCCGCTGCTGCGGCTCAGGTAAGGGAGCCCCTCCCCCCCCCAGCTCGGATGTGGGAACGGGGCGGGGGTCGGTGCTGCGGGGCGTTCCGAGCTCCCAGAGCGGCACCGGCACCACTTCGCGGGGTCCCGCTGCTGCGTGTCTGGCACGTCCGCTCTGCCCCCAGTCCCGCTGCTCCCTTGACACTGACACTCCTAGAGGGAGACCCCCGCCCCCGGGTGCTCGTCTCCCTGCACCCGCCTGGACTCCTTTGCCAGGCTCTTTGCGTGCACCTAAGTGTCTCACGGGTGTGACCCTGTGGAAACAGCGCTCTGGAGTTGGGCTACGTGCGGGGATGCTTGATCTAGAAAGTCTTATTATTTATTCACTGCTGGTTTTATTTTCACTTTTTGCGCAGCCTGGCTTTTTATAATAAGCTCTTAAAACTATTTGGACTGCATACTAAATCTCAGTCGTATGTTGAGTTTTTGTGGCTTTTGCAAATTTAACAGAATAAGGGGCTGGTACTTCTGTGTTTTGTACAGCAGTGAGCAGGGGGTCTGTGATGAGCAGACAAACTTTAGCATCAGTGAGTGTATTTCCAGGTAGGTGTCCAATTGTTGAGTTTATTTGTTTCCTTCGTATTTTAATCATATGTCCTATCATCCAGATTTCCCCTTGTACTTGATTTTTTTTATCCTCTTAATTTTGGTTTATTAACTTATAATTACTGTCTACTTAATCTTCTTATCTGCAGACATATTTTCCTTTAGGCACATTCCCTTTAGGAAGGCTGCAACATACAGAGACGCCACATGAAGAAATGTTGAAGGGGAGAGAACTTGAAATTAAATAGGGATACAGTCTATATTTATGAAATTAAAAAAACAAAAAACCTTTGGTTTTAATATTCTTATTTCTGACCGTAGTTTATAGTAATAAACTGAAGTTTTAGGTTTACAATCTTTTTTATAGTGTCTGTTCTTCCAAATTAATTAAAAGCACTTCTTGTGATTTACAGTGTATATAGAGAGATGAGTTACAGTTTCCCATGTTTTTGTGTTGCCTTCCACATACCAACAGGGAAGAGAAAAATGTCGGTTACGATGACGGCTATTCATTTAGTTCTGCTCACTTGCGAAATCTCCACTGGCTGTTTTTGTGTGGGGATGGTTGTGGGTGGAGTGCTGGTCAGGTCCCAAAATAAATAAGGCATTTAAAACAGCTACTTCTATTAAACACATAAAAACTGTTTAAAATGTTGTTAAGGTTGTGAAGTTAAGCACTCAGAAGTTAGGAAATGCCAGAATTAATGTGCAACTTTAATTCAGCCCTCTTGTGCATATGCATTACGATACAGTTTTAATTACATGATCACATACTATTTTTTCCACAGGAACCCTGCCTTATTCAGTGAACAGGATGGAAGGTACTTATTCAGTGAACAGCTACTGAATATTTTGTTTTAAGCTCATGGTTCAGTGTGTGGCCTGAAGCCTTATTCACTATACTTCAACCAAACCCTGCTCCGAAGACACAATTAATTTCCTCATCGGCTTTTCTGTGGTGTTTGTCACTGTAGTATCTGAGTGATTCACAAACATTAATGAATTCTTCATCACAACTCCTCTGAGAGGATGGGGTAGTATTATCCCTGTTTTATAGGTGGGGAGCTGAGGCACAGAGATTAAGGTGAAAAGTTTCCACTACTTTTGAGAACCTGATTTGAGGTACCCAGGACTTGACTTTTTCCTAATACTGAGTAGTACTCAATGTTCAAAGCACACCGCTAATTAACTTCAGTTGCTTCTGTGAGTGCTCAGCACTTCTGCAAATCAGACGCTAGCGTCTCATGTCGGGCATCCAGAAAATGAGTTACACGATTAGTGACTACCTGTGAAAAGTTTGGTTTTAGTAACTTGCCCATCATCACGTAGGAACTCTATCACAGGAAGGGATAGAATCTAGTTCTCCAGTGCATTATTCAGTTGCCTTACCTATGAGACTGTCCTTTCTGTTCCTGCAATCTCCTGCCTCATTCACTGCAAACCTTCCAAAACGTCATATTCGCACCCTGGCTCTGGCCCCACGAAGTTGTGGGAACTCCTCGTTAGGCTTCTCCTGGCACTAACCAAGATGGCCATCCATCGCTCCAGGCGGAGGAAACTTGGACGGGGAGAGGGGGATAATCTGCGACTGCAGAGCCTGTTTCTGCTCACGTCTCCAAGCAGAGTTTGTCTGGGCAGTGTCCACTGATTTCTTGAATGCCTTTGAGGGGCAGTGGGCACTGTCTGGGCTTCTCTGCTCGGTGTCCCTCTCTGGATCCCTGATTTTTTTATAGTATGACTTTCAGTCCTGATCTTATTTTTTCTCTTGTTGTCCCAAGAAATGAATGTGGCCTTGGCACAGTGGTTCCTCCCTCTTAATTGAGGGGACAGGCCTTTATTTATGGTTGGGCCTAGACCCACCTGCTCCAGTGGAACAAATAGTACACACCTTCCAACTTATGCAATATATGAGGCTGGGGGTCTATAGATCAGGGTGTAGTGAAGGAGACTGATATATTCCCACAGCAGGTCCATCCTGTGCACTGAATAAGGTAGGGGTCCTGTGGGGGACAGTAAGATTCCCCCACCCCTGTTCCCCTATGCTGGTTCCTAGTTCAAATGCGTTCCCATCTCTGGTTCCTAGTCTGTGTTCCTTCCACCCCCATTCCCCTCACAACTCTTAGTCCCAGCGTCGTCTTGATTTCCATTCCCATCCCTTATTCCCCACTCCTTTACAGTGTCCTTGCCCAGCTATTTCCTGTTTCTCTCCCCACCCCCAGTCTCAAGATATTTCTTTTGCCAATCTATCGCCCTCCCCCGATCTGACTCTTGTGTGTTCTGTATTCAACTCAGTGATTTGCTTCTTCCTTGCTGTCTGGACACTGGGTTGGGGGGCAGGTGGTAGGGAACTGAGCATCAGTTCCACTGCCCATCTCCATCCCGGTCCAGGAAAGTCAAGCATTAGCCCTGGGCTGGAGGCGACTTAGTCAGTTACTGTGTAGGGATGGTGCATGCACAGTCTGCTCAGCGTTAGGAGCTGAGAGAAGCTTGAGATGCTCAGCGAGGATGATATCTTTAGAGATTTTACCTGCTAAAATCAAAGTCCTACTGATGACTTATGTTTGTGTGTATGCAGCGGAGGGGTAGGACTCATAACATCGCAGTTGCAGCCTTAAATGTGGAACCATGGCATTGGGTCCAGAACGTGTTTTAGTTTGTCTTTGAAATGATTTGGCAGGTCTTGAAAAGTCTGCACACCAGTGATGGCGTGGGAAAGTTTGAGAAAAAGTCATCAGTGTAAGCCTTAATTGGAAAAACAAGTTTCTAGCCGTAACGATTTGTGAATAAAATATTCCAAAGGTGACCAGATTCGTTGTTGTGTTTCTGGATATGCAGCCACTGCTCACAGTTCTCTCATGGTACCTAAGAGTGAAAACTTATTCATCCTGCACATGCTTTATATTTTTTTGGGGTAGGGAGAATCTTTTTTTTCTACGTTATAAAAAAAGCAAAAAAGGCTGCAACCTCTCTTTTGTCAGGGCAAATTGAACTCTTTAGAGCTGCAGGAAAACCTACGGTAGAACCTCAGAGTTATGAACACCAGAATTACGAACTGACTGTTCAACCACACACCTCATTTGGAACTGGAGGTACGCAATCAGGCAGCAGCAGAGACCAAAAAAAAAAAAGGCAAATAGAGTACTGTTAAACAGGGCTTTGGATCTGTACTCCAGCTCCGCTCCAGCACCAAGCAAAAACTTGCAGCTCCACTGCTCCGGAGCTGCTCCAGCTCCAGGCTCCGGTCCAAAGCCCTGCTGTAAAACATAAACTACTAAAAAAATAAAGGGAAAGCTTAAAAAAAAATACAAGGTAAGGAAGCTGTTTCTGTGCTTGCTTCATTTAAATTAAGGTGGCTAAAAGCAGCATTTTTCTTCTGCATAGTAAAATTTCAAAGCTGTTAAGTCAATGTTCAGTTGTAAACTTTAGAAAGAGCAACCATAACGTTTTGTTCAGAGTTACAAACATTTCAGAATTATGAACAATCTCCTTTCCCAAGGTTTTTGTAACTCTGAGGTTCTACTGTCTATGAACTTATTTCCTATTCTCTCCTGAATGCAGTGTGAAGCGAGCCAGCAAGACTGAAGACACAATAGACTTGTGGGGCATTAAGGAATGCTTGGGTAACTTGTTGCATATTACTTGTAATATGAGAAGAAAATCTTCTCAGGACTTTCCCGAAGTCAGCTTCCCCTGACTTCTCCAAGCAGGAGAGGCTGTCTTGGAGCACAGGTTTGTGTATCCCAGCTCTATGTGGGTGGGTGGGTGTTGTGGTGTGTGGAGAGGTGATGAAGAAGAAAAAACACTTCAGATTAAAATTCTTGGGTTTCTGTGTAAAACAAAATTTACAAAACCTTTAGACTCTTCCCACCACTGCTTGTGGACCTAACACTTTGTCTTTGGACTACTGCATGAGAACATGAAGTGAAACTAACCATAAATGGATGGTCTAGTTTTACTATTCAAACCAAGTGAAATGTAAAAAGCCAGCAAACGGCATCAGTAGAAAATAGGGCCAAGATATTTAACTTGGATGCCCATTACAATTAAGCTCTTAAATAGAGCTGTGTGGAATTTTTTGCAGTTTATTTGTTAAAAAATGCAGTTTTGGATCAACCAAAACTGATTTGCAGATTTGACATGAATTTGCTGTATAGATTTGGCCAGATGTTTCAGGGTAGAGTCACAGGGGGAAGTAGGCACCATTTACGGATGAAGTCAGTAAGAGCAGCTGCTCGCTACCTCTGAAAATTGGACCCATACCGCCTTATATCTCTGCACTCCGCAAAACTTAATTTACACCTTACAGTGCCTCCTGTGAGTTAAGAATTATTTCCATTCTGTTACCTTATGAAACTGGTGATGATAAATTGCAAATTTATCTGTAATAGGTATGGCTTTGGCTGGCTTCATAAGAAATTTAAATAATTTTTGGA